GAACAAATATAAAGCAGTGAAAAAATTTTGAAAACAAAATACTTTTTTTTCTATGGCCATTTCCTGTTTTACGCATCCGGTTTTCGATATTAATAAAATGTCAATCATATTTATTTTTATGTAATTTTAAAGAACTTTTATTAAGCTACAAAATAAAATTTAAATTATTTTTTTAACATGATTATTTCTCGAGATATTTGAAAAAAATGAGGTGCATTTTGTAAAAAATGTACAATTTTTCTGCGCTTTAAACGGCCATATCTTAGCGGGTAAACAATGTTGGAAGGTAAAATTTCATTTTTTTTTCTTAGTTATAGCATATACTACCAGTATACAAAATTTAAGAAAAATTGAAGGGGGTCGGGTTGAAACCTTGGTTGATTTGCTATGGAATTCACCATATATATATTAATTAATAGCTGATATTTTTAAAATTCTGCCGTTTATTACCACACTAGCTGACGGGGTTGAAGGGTAATTATTTAGTTTGTGTGTATGGTATTATTAATAAATTATATATAAATATTAAAATTTAGGAGAAAAAGAGCTAAAATTGTTGCAATGTATACCGTGAGCATGTATTAGAAATATCAAAATTTAAATTTGTGATGGATATATATTGGATAAAATTTAAAATAGAGTGCTTTAAGATTTTTGAATTTTAAAAGGGTTATACAATGGCCTGAAAATTTTTTTTTACAGACATAGCCAGGCCTGATTAAAAAACCAAGTCCCATGCAACTTTCATGAAATTTTGCCATTATTTTTATTGAATGTCTTAAATTTAATTTTATATTTAGAATAAAATTAGATTTGTGATAGAAATCATATTGTGTAAAATATAAAATAGAAATGCTTGAAAATTTTTTAATTTTAAATATGGGTTAGACATTGGTCTGAAAATTTTTTTTTGCAGAAATAGCCAGGCCTGATTAAAAAACAAGCCCATGCAACTTTCATATTCTGATTTTATTTTTAAATGAATTATGACTTTTATATATTTTATTTCAGTTCTCAACTAACAAAATTATTATGATCTTTGGTGGGCTTGAGAAAATTTTTCCAACAATATGGTTTTCAGAGATTTACCTATCTCCAGGCTTGGGAAAAAATTACAAGATTATTATGGGTTGGCCAGGCTTGAGAAAAAAAATTTCAGGCCAATGTCTGATCCATATTTAAAATTAAAAATTTTTCAAGCATATCTATTTTAAATTTTACACAATATGATTCCTATCACAATTTTAAATTTTATTCTAAATATAAAATTAAAGATATTGTTATTAAATTACAATAGAAATAAATGGAATATAAAATTAAATTTAAGACATTGTTACTAAATTACAAATTTTATGAAAGTTGCATGGGACTTGGTTTTTTGATCAGGCCTGGCTATCTTCTTCTTTATCATGTATATGGTCTCACAGTTGTGGGGTGTTTTCATAAGTTTCTTCCATCTTGATCGAGTAAGGGCCATGTCCGGATTTATCTTCTTAGTCATCATAACTTTGTCTACTTGACCTTTCCACGTAACACGAAGTCGTCCTCTTCCCCGGCACCTCCATGTCCAATACTTTTCGATTTACATCATTCGTCTCCCTTCTTAGTATATGACCATACCACCTTAACCGATTTTCATTTATCAAGTCCGCCATAGGTTGAATACCCATTTTTGCTCTGAGACAGTCATTCGTCATATGGTAGAGTTTAGTATACCCCAAGCTCCACCATATCATTCTCATCTCCGTGGTTTGTAATAACTTTTCTTCAATAGCGTTTAATGCCTATGTTTCACTTCCATAGAGTAACACCGGTCTTATAATGGATTTGTAAGCTTTGCTTTTCAACCATATTGGCATCTTCTTGTCGCACATTACACCGGCTATACTTCGCCATTTAAGCCATCCTTTTTGGATCCGTGCATTGACTTCTTTTGTGCAACCTCCCTCTTGTAGCATCGAGCCTAGATATGTAAACCTGTCTACTTTTGGGTACTTTGATTGGTCATCCAGCGATGGAGGATTTAATATGGTGGTGCTTGAGAAAACAAAATATCCCTGACGCATATGTACGGCTTATGAAAAATATCTATGAAGCCTCAACTTCTTGCGTTAGAACGACAGTTGGAGACTCTAAACCTTTTCGTGTTGAAATTGGATTACATCAAGGATCTGCTCTAAGTCCTTTTTTTATTTAGTATAATTATGGACACGATAACGAGAGACATCCAAAAGCCATCTCCTTGGTGTATGCTATATGCCGATGATATAGTACTATGCGAAAAGACAAAGGAGAAAGTATTCGAAGAAGCCGAAAAGTGGTCAAACGCTTAGCTGGATATTGTTTAAAGGTCAACAATCGAAAAACGGTATACATGTAGATGAACGTTACAGGCACCCCATCGCTGGATGACCAATTAAAGTACCCAAAAGTAGACAGGTTTACATACCTAGGCTCAATGCTACATCAAGAGGGAGGTTGCGCAAAAGAAGTCAATGCACGGATCCAGAAAGGATGGCTTAAATGGCGAAGTATATCCGGTGTAATGTGCGACAAGAAAATGCCAATATGGTTGAAAAGCTGGCTATGTCTTCAAAAAAATATTTCAGGCCAATGTCTACCCCATATTTAAAATTAAAAAATTTCCAAGCATCTCTATTTTAAATTTTATTCAATATGATTTCTATCACAAATTTAAATTTGTTTCTAAATATAAAATTAAATTTAAGACATTATTATTAAATTACAGTAGAAATAAATGGCAAAATTTTGGGAAAGTTGCATGGGACGTGGTTTTTTGATCAGGCCTAGCTGTGTCTGCAAAACAAAATTTTGAGGCCAATGTCTAGTATATATTTAAAATTCAAAAATTTTGAAGAATCTCTATTTTTAATTTTTCCCTATATGATTCCTATCACAAATTTAAATTTTGATATTTCTAATACCCTTAATGCTCGCGGCTTACACAGCAACAATTTTACCTCTTTCTCCTAAATTTTAATATAAAGCATAATTAGTACCATATACACATAACTAATTACCCCTCAACCCCGTCATAGTCAGATATAATCTTCAATTTAAATTTACTAACAACTAGTTACCTCAGAAATTTTATCTCCACTTTATTTAATAAATAGTATATTTTGTTGCATATTTTCTTTTCTTTTTGTTATAAGGCTGCTTTGTCCTGAATATCAAAAATTTATTAATTTTGAAAAAAAATTTCATAAGTTATTTTTAATGTAAAAATAAAATAGTGTTCTAAATCATTTTTTGTCATTTACAAAAATTTATTATTTTATTAAAATAATAGAGATAAATAAATTTTAATAAAATTTTGCTAAATTTATAAAATTTTTACGAAAAACTAGTAATATTAATTTATATAATTATTTTATAATAAGAAATGAATTCAGATGGGATGTATAAATATAAATAAGTAGTAATTAAGAAGATCTTAATTGTCAGTATGTATTATTAATAAAAAAAATTCATTTACCAACTTTTTTTTAATAAATCCTTAATGCATATAAGTTGTTCCAGAATTTGATATTAAAACAATTTTAAATAATACTGCCTGTTTTTATAAATTTACTAACCCAAAAATTATAGGCATTTATATTATATAATAATATTGTTTTAGTCTCAGAAAATTTATTTATGGAAAGTATAAGAGTGAACATAAACCTTTGGAGCAAAAATTATTTAAAATTCAGAGATTCTACACCAAGTAAGATAATATGGGAGGAAATTGGAAAGATATATAACATAAATTATGACCAGGTTATAACAATGATAATTTTATTAACTATATTAATTTAAGGTAATTTTATGAAGATGCCCAAAGTTGACATAAAATCCTTAAACATTGCTCAAGTGAGATTAGCACAAGACAATTTATTTTTTGGGTATTTAAATGATTTTTATAAGGTTTCATTGAAGTCCATTAGGAAATAAATATTATCTCCAACATATACACATGGAGATAATATGTCTGTTTAAGATAAGAAATTTGAATTAGGTATCTTGGTGATATTTATCATTCCTTCATAAAATATGCTCTTTGTAATAATGCTTTTATATGAGACTGAGGTAGGAAGGTCAACCTCAATTAACATGAATTTATAAAATATATAATAATCTTGGTGATCACACAATGGAGTTAAATTTTTTATAATTAAACATAGACCACCTTTTTTAGGCTGTTTCGAGGAAAATCAGATTTCCTGACGTATTCTGCTGATAATTCAAGCATATGTTGGTAAAGAGAGATACTTTGGTTGAAGACTTACCCGTAATAATCTACATATTGATGTCAAAATTTTAGCTATTGATGTTTTGCAAATAAAGCTATTTTTCTAAAACTCATTCCTGTTGTCAAATAAATAAAATATATTAAGCTTGTTTATTAAAAAATAAAAATCATACACATATAAAGCCAACTCTTCATACTTATATTGTTTTTATGTAACGCATAAAAAAATTAATGTAAGATTTCGAACTGTTTCATAATTTTATTAATTTGGAAAATTTTTTATCTTTTATTAAAAAGTTACAAACCTTTTTTTTAAGTTATAAAATGTCAATTGCCACTTTTATCAAAAACCAATCATGCTTTTATTTCACGAAAAAGAGGGTATTTTTGAAAATTTACAAAAATTGAGTTTGGCCATATAGTGCGATATAAATGCAAATTCTATTAATGAATCAATATTAATTCTATTAATAAATTTGATAAAATCAAAGATTTACTGCTAGAAATATAGTTTAAATTATAAAATATTTTTAAAAATTCTTATTTAAAACTCTTGCAACCCCATAATAAAATTCATACACCCCACCCCCTCCCCGGGAAACTCAGGCGAGCCCATTTGATTATATTTGAATCTATTCAATAGTAGTTATTAAATAAAGGAAAATAGTTTTATTATTAATTAAAACGTAAAATGACTAGTACAAAATGTTTCTAATTATTTTATTTATGTGTTTCGTTTGTTTAGAAACTACATTCGCAACAATATAACTATCAACGTTTACGTCGTTAACCAGTTGTGGTTATTTTCCTATTATTGGTGTGTGGGTGTCGATTCGATAACCACTGGTAGATGCGGTTTTATGACAAATCCCTCGCTAAGGCCTCTCATGTTAATGGTTTTATTATTAAATATACATAGATAGAATATATATTTTACAGATTTAGATTAATTTGCATTAAATTGTATTATATTTTCACAGTAGCTCAAGCTAATTTATAAACTAATAGCTTGTTCACAGGCGCGTAGCCAACGGAGGGAGGGGGCATAATAGGACAAATCTCCCCCACAGCCAAAAAATGCATATTTTATTTAATATATATTTTAAAAGTCTTCGCCATTAAGCAGTCACTTATTTTATGGAATTAGAAAAGCTTTTTAAGTCAGAGTAATGAAAGCCTCTCATCAAGCGGTCCTTACAACCAAGAGTATTTCTTAAAATAACATTTTAAAAATTTTTGGGCTGGGCAATGATCAAATATAAAAACAGGCTTTGTGAAAAAGATTTTGGGCCAAGTTTGAAAATGTTATTTCAAATCCGGGATAGGCCTAAAATTTCTACCTTTGCATGTCTGATATATTTATAATAACATCTTTTCGTTTACTTATATTATTTACCTATCGAAAACAAGAATTCAAGTACTTATTTCGCCTTAGTGTCCAGCATGCATTTATTATGCCTTTTATCTATGGCTATCATATTCCAATTCAAAATATCTCGGATAAACAAACAAAAAGATTTTGTGGATTTGTCTAAACAAGCTTAATACTATTTAAAATTATCCATAGAATTTTTCATATAAAATTCTCATCTTTGTAACTTTATTGTATTTATGTATTATATAATGAAGAAAAATTAGATTATAATTTAATTTTTTCCTTTTTTCATATAGCTAATTTCAGGGATATGAACCCTCCTTCTAAAAAGATGGGTTTGGGTTCAGTAAAAAATCTATCAACCCGGTTCGTGTTCATGTGGGTTCAGGGTTAGGAGACCAGAAAAATAATGACTTATTATAATTAGTTAAAATAACAGAAACATTATTTTTTTTAAATTTATTTTATTAGTATTGCCATAAAAATAATTTATCATCATATTTATAATATATTCGTGATTATGACTTCTCTTTATCTTACTATCAATTTAATAATCTACAAACATCAATATCCTAAAATAGATATTATTATATATTATCATCATTTATAAAAAAAACTTTTAGAATCTGCTTTGCTTGGTAAAATTTAAAAAATTTTACGAAAAAGAAAAAATGATCAAAAATGTTTTTTTTAATTAATATTTTTTTTTGTATAAAAAAACAATTATTTTAAAAATAGGAAATTTTTTATAAATGAAAATCATAAATTACATGTTTTTTATATTATATTATTTTTAACATATAATTTAAAATAAATAAAATGAAAGTTTTAAAATAAAAAATATATTTTTTTTAAAAAAAAAGCGTGGACTCTGAACCCTAAATTTTAAAAAAGGGTTCGGGTTTGGGTTCAGCGAAATATCGAGGGTTCGGGTTCTCATCCCTAGCTAATTTACGTGATATATTAATGTTGGTAAACTTGATTGACAGATAAAATTTTAATTTAATTATGTACTTCATTAAATAATTTGGTCGAATATGGTTGTATTTTATAATTTTTTATTTCTAATTTTGTTGTATCAAATATTTTCTATATCATTCTAAATACATATTGATGTTCAATGATTTTTCTCTTCCTATGTATAGTAAATTAATTTGTATATTTAAAATATAATGTTTCAATTAAATAACAAGAGGTTGTAACAATTTTTTAGTATTATAATATGAATAATAAAAGTAAGAATTAAATAAATTATAAAAAACGAAGGTTTAACAAAATAATTTTAAGTTGTCTTGTTCGTTAAAATATTCAATTTGAATAATAAAATAAAAATATAACATTCATTCAAATTAAAATGAATGTATACAAATAAAAATTTAATATATCATAGATATATCTAACAATTATATATATACATTTATTATTAATGTAAGAAAAATTCTTTTGATTGCATTATATTTTGCATGAAATCATACATACAAAATATTTTTTTAATTAATACTCTTTTTAATATGTACTGTTTCAAATTGAATCATGAATAAATTTAGTTCATTTCTATCTTGCATCCAGTCGTTGTTATTTGATAAGCAGAGTATTCGATGTCACAGATAACTCTGTTGTTAGTGTAGTCTAATTCAGCCACCTTTTTTTCCGGGTTGACAACTATCTAATTTTTAGATCAACAAAATAATAGAATAAATGATAAATTTAATCATTATATTTGACTTACCTCTAATTGATAGCTCCCAGGTTGCACATCTGTCATGTCAACCCATTGACAATCTATATCATATTTATAAACATCGATGCAACCAACCGAAATACCTTGTTCCCCGAAATCTCTGCACTGGAAAGTGGGGAAGATGTCATATCTGCATTGGGCGTCTTCTAAGCAAAAGCTGGCTTTATGCCCTGTGGCAACTGCGTTATTATTTCTATCTAAAACTCTGTACGTTGAAAATACTTCAAAGCTATGATAATGTCTGTTTTGTTTTGAAAGAGTAAATGTAATATGTTTATGGCATGATTGTGTATGTGAATAAAATTTATCGCCGCTTTAAAAAATGGGTGCTAAAGTTTTTACTCAATTGTTTCATATTTTTAAAAAATTTATCAAATTGTTTCGATTTTTTTAAAATTATCTAAATTGAAGTGGAACATTATATTTTTATTGCTCAGGGAGCTTGAATGATTAAAATTTAACAATTTCCACAACATCTTAATAATTCTTTCAAATTTAAAAGCTAACTCAAAATTTTTTAAATGCTTTGATACTCGATATAACGCATTCCAATTCTAAAGCGACGATGATAAGTATGGGGGTGTAATACGGTGTTGTCAGAAATCAAGGAAACACCTCAAAAAAATGTTATGCGATACCTTTGAGTCTAAATATTAAAAACTACCAAACCTTTAAAGGTTTTAGTTTACTTAAGCTATCTAATGAATTATTAATATCGATTATATAGAGTATTCGTTTAAAATTTTATTTATAAAAAATATAATACGGAACATGAAATTTTTAAAATAACATGAATTTTTGCTATATGATTTAATCATATTTATCATGGTTGGGTATTTAACCGATCAAGTATAACTCGGTCAATTGATCGATATTTCCTAAATACAATTATTCGTTTTTATAATGATATACTTCTTTTTGAAAAGTAGTTGAATTTGGAAGGGTCACTATGGCATGCCACTTACAGAGTGGGCAAAGTTCCTTCCACATGCTTGATGCCGATATTTTATTAATATTTATAGATTCTATCGCATTCGATATATTGTGCTTATCAAAAATAACGTTTTTACATTGAAAAATTATCGTATCTAAATGATAACCAGGCAAAATCCTTGCTTTTTTATTATCTCACAAACTTCATCAATTTGGAAGATGCCGGTCTTGATATTAGAGATATATTAAATAGATAGCTTGTGGGCAGTTATATTGAAATTCTTTAAACTTATTTCAAACATTTTTTTTAATTTTGTCTTCTCCTGCTGGAGAGGATATTAGATCATAGTACTATTGAATAATATGCTGTTTCACTTATTTTTGCTTGGGTCAATGTGCATTTATCCTCTGTTCATAACGACATAGCAAACGATTGAAAAAAAATTAAAGATACTATTACTTATTTCTCTTGGACATGTATCACAGTCTATTCAACGGATGCAAGCCTTTAGAGTTATTTATCAAATAGCTACTACTACAAGATTTTAGGAAGCACATCTGAGATCATATTAATTATGTAAATGATATTCTTTAGTAAGATGATATAACACTTGTATTGCATTTATTCTAAGAAATGAGATATGTGAAAATTTTCAATTTATCTAAGAAGGTCTTGCCAATTTTTTCCGATTGAGTAACTTATAAATATGATGTATTATTTTAATAAAACGGATGTGAAGCTAATTGTTTGTGAAGGCAGCCTATGCAAACATTTCATCATATTTTAAGTTTTTATAAAACTTTCTTATTTAAAAAATATTTTCTATACTAGTATATTATTTTTTTGAGTTTAGACTTCCCTGAATTTATTATGATGGATAAAATCAAAATGTCGGATATTATCCCCTAAGTTGAGTAGAAAGTTGTTATTTTGATTTAATTCTTCATCAGATTCGAACTAATAGAAATATCAGTATTTCTAAGGTCAGGCACACATGGTGCAACTGTTTAGTATTTTTTATTTATTCTATCAAAGTATGTGATAATAATTATGTGATATGATATATTTAATGACAAAAAGGCGAAAACTTTAAGATTTTAGCCAAAAAATATTATCTAAGCCTCAAAATTTCGCTGGCAGAAGATTTGGCACTCTTGACTAAATCTACAGGCTGCGAAAATCCTGATTTATCTATTTCAAAAAAGCGGTTAAATGGCTAAATCTAAGTTTTCACAATACTATAGGCCAATATGACATCGAATTGAATGATGGATTATGGCGGAAATCAGATTATCTTTGGAAGGGAGTTTTGTATCCAAACATTCAATACAAGCTCGAACTTTGTGCCAAAGAGCGATATCCTGTTAGAATTCTGGGTTATCGCCAATATTCACTAATGAATCTAACAAGAAGATGATTACCCAAAATCTCATTATATGTATTCTGATTGTCATAAATTCCGCTTATTTTGCTTTCTTCCATGTATTATTTAATCATTGTATCATATGAAGCTCCGGAAAGGTGGCAGTTCTCCATTAGTCTTTATCTCACCTTTTAAGTTTAGAATTTTTTATATCCTAAATGTGTTTCTTAAACATTATTTACAAGTTTTTATTTCATGGTATTTTTACAGAGCCTTTCCTTGAATAGTTGCGAAATCTCTTTTTAAACCTCTAACTTTTGCCTATCTCGCGGTAGGGTAGTCGTTGATGTCTTGATTGATCAAGTCTAAAGGTTTGCTCTTATCTCAGGGGGTATAAATATTTGAACTACAACTTCCCAAGCCTATATTATAAGTTATTTTTTATTTATCTTAATATTCTTTTACATCACCGCAAACTTTTTTAAACTAATTCCCCTCGGAAAATGGCAAGCTAAGGCTTGAATAACTTCCTTAGGTATAGTCTATATGACACTGTGCCTTATAGCAAAGGTAAATTATAAAAATTAATATCTTCAAATAAGAAATTTGAAATTGGATTAAGAATTTGTCCTATAGTTTTTCCAATTTCTGGCATGCTCTTAAATGTGTACATTTTTTTTTCAAAACAAATTTTATATAATGATAAATATAACCGTTTTATAGCTTTTTAAGTTCAATTTATAAGATTTCTATAAAACTTTATTCCATCAAAAAATAATAGGCAGTCCTTGAGATCCCTGAAATATTGAGGTTTAAAATGATTTCTGCATTATTTTAAGGTATTCTCTTAATTTCTTGAAACACCTTGTTATAGTGTATATAAATTTTTATTGATATTATAAAGCAAGATGTGCGGCATTTTATTATGAATAATAATTTGTGGTGTTAGTAAAATTAATATATAGAGCAGTTATAGAAAGAGATTTGGTAAAAATAGTATCAAAATTAATTTATTTACAAAGCAAGTTTTGTTTTGCTAAAACAAAGAATGTTAATTTTGAGTTGGTTGAGACTTATAAAGCGCTTGTTATTTATTCAAAAAAAATTTAAAGCTTAATTTTAAAACATTTTATTTTCAAGCATTTAAAAAAATGATAATCCAATAATTTACTGATGGCACTCATGCCAATCCCACATAACTTTCGGGAGAAACGGAGTAAAATCCGCTGTACCAATATTAGCAATGGCAGTCGTAAACCTTAATAAATTTCTATAAGCGCTTGCCCATCCTAATAAAAATAATAATAATGCAAAAGTCTATTGAAAAGTTTTTTTTAAGATTTTAAACCCAACGAAAGTAAGTTTATTTAGACCGATTTCCCTATGAGATATACAGATGTGAAAAACTTGGTTAGCTTTTGGTTAAAAGTGATTTTTAAAAAAAATAAATAATGTAATAAACTACTCGTGGCATTGATGCCAGTCCCACAATTTTTTTGGCAGAATAGGTAAGAACGCTACCTTTCCTATATTCGCCATTGCCAATGTAAATCTCAGAAGTTTTCTTTTAGAATTTTTCCATTCTATAAAAAGAGATGAGAGATTACATACATACAACCTAACCTTATTTTTAAAAAAAAATTTCAAAAACATTTTAAGTAAAATAATTTATTAGAGAAACTAAATTTTAAGGTCAGACTAACTAACTCTTTAAAAATGAACAATTTGATTAAATCTTATCTACTCATTATAATTAAGTTGAAATACTTTGAAAGATTTGTATCTTTAAATAATTATAAATAATGTTCTGTTCTGCCTAATATCCGCTAGTAAAACCTCCGTAAGATATATCTCTAAAAAGCAGAATATTTACATCTCTTTATTGAAATCTTATATTGTTTCCATTGACATAAATATATTATTCAATTTGAATAGTCAAATTACCTAATAAATGAAAAAGTGATTTAATTTCATATTTTTAAATTTTATAAAATATATT